CTTTACATGAACTGCACCTATAAGCAACATGAGGTTTTGGAAAGGGCAAGATCAGGAATATACTGAAATTTGTACACAATGGAAGCTATGTATATGCAATTTCAGGACATTTGGAAATATGCTTTAAAAAAGACAAATAAAGTGTTTCACTTTGCCTATTTAAAATGATGCCCAATGTTATATTTAGTGCTGCTTTATATAGTTGCTTCTGCTAGACTGTTTTCTTAGTTAAAGTCTCAGGAGTAAAAATAGTAATTGTGTTTGAGAAAACGTTTAATTAAACATGTATTATGTCACCTATTAAAAAAATCTTTCTTATCTGGTGCTTTGCCAGTATCAGAATGCTGCGTTTTAAGCTTTATAACCACTTAAGCTGCACTATGACAGCCTAAATTGAATCCGTTATGCACCCAGACTCAATTGATGGTTAATGTTTAATTAACAGAACATTTTGAAAATGAGATGCAGTTATAACAGTGCTTTAAAGACTTCCTCTATAATCATTTATATAAACATACTGCTGCCAAATACATTGCACTTAAAGAAAAAACACCTTTCAAATTATGGGGTTTTAAGTAAAGCCTATCAATCTATCTATCTATCTATCTATCTATCTATCTATCTATCTATCTATCTATCTATCTATCTATCTATCTATCTATCTTTCTGTTTATCTATCCTATCTCCCTTTTTTGTTCTAGTCCAAGTTCAGGGGTAATTCAAGATACTGATACATTTATCATGGATAATTGTATATAACAGCACATATAGACTGAGTTTAGTCGTGGAAGCAAAGCTTACAATGTCACTTAGAGGTAGGAGTAGTATGTATGTATGTATGTATGTATGTATGTGACAAGAGGGCAGGGTGGGCATTGTAGTTTACAGGGACTGTGTGGAGGTGGGGAAGAGGGAGGAGGGAAATGGGCGGGGGGGGGGAGTAGAAGTTTTGCTGCCCCGGCTATAGCTTGCTTAATAGCCATCAAGATATGTAGATCTGCGTTTGCCAGTATCCAGTTATATTTAGTATAGAGTTTGTGAATTCAAGGGGCAGATATCCTACGTTTTGTGCCATGATACCTAGGTCACTAAATCAGAAGGATAAATAAGTATACTTCTCAGATAGATCTGTAAGGGCATAGTACCATCGGAGAAACATTTGAAGATATTTTAAAGAACAAATTTTTTTTAACTTAGCTGTTGCTGACCAGATATCCTTCCAGTCTTTGTCTGATAAGGTAGATCCAAGCTGTTCAGTCCATTCGTTCAGTTCGTTTGATATTGATGCATATGTGGGGTGCGTTAAAGTGTTAGTAAAGCCACTTCTTTGACTTTTGCCTATAGGTAAGCCTATAATAAGGCTTACCTATAGGTACATCAAATATCTCCTAAAGGTGCACCATTTAAGAGATATTTACTTTTGCAGCAACCGGTGATATCACTGTTGCATGAACTCTGAAGGAACGGCATACCCGAGGCGTTCCTTCAAAGCTCTGTGCAATTGCGGATCGGGTATTCATATGGCTGAAGCCCGCAAACTTGGAAGGAAGACCAGGTAAGATGTAAAACGCAGTGACCTGTGACAGCACGGCACTGGAGGGCTTCAGTTTCAGGTAAGCACAAAGTCCTGACCTCAACCCGATATAAATGGGATGAATTAGAGCGGAGACTACGAGCCAGGCCTCATCCGACATCAGTGCCTGACCTCACAAATACACTTCTGGAAGAATGGTCAAACATTCCCATAGACACCCTCCTAAACCTTGTGGACAGCCTTCCCAGAAGAGTTGAAGCTGTTATGGCTGCAAAGGGTGGGCCAACTCAATATTGAACCCTACGGACTGGGATACCATTAATTTTCATGTGTGCGTGTAAAAGCAGGCGTCCCAATACTTTTGGCAATATAGTGTATATAAGATTTGCTTGATCTGTTCATATGGTTCTGTGTCCATAGTTTAATGAAAAAAATAAGTTAAACCATTAACAAAAGACAAAAGATTTTTTACCTAGTATCAAACTAGGTAAACATCACCATACTATTATTATCACTAGCTAAAATCACAATGAGTTACCACCGTGTTTTAGCATCCACTGAATCAGCTGCTAGATCACAGCCTAAGTGAACATTAAGTTACACTGACATCCGGAATTTTATCTATTATGCTGTGTAGTCTCCGGTCACACGTTGTGCTGTATGCATATAGGTCAGAGGTTTTGTATTTCACATCAATGTCAAAAATATACTGGTGGCAGTCATAACAGTGTCCATGTGTTCATTTACAGACTGGCAACTCCTGGACCATATTTCGAGAATTACATTTTTGATATAGTAGAAATGTGGTGAGCTAATCAAAAAACTACAAAGTACTTTATTTCTTTTATGGAGGTTCACCTTGCATTTACATATGGAACAAGGCATAAATCATGCATGAATATGTAGTAACAGCTTTCCTCCCTGCACCCTGTGTAGAAATAAGTCACAGCAGTTAGTCATGCTATAAAAAGACTCAGCAATTAGCAGCAAAGGTTAACATCAGACGTTTTAAACGTTGCTTTCCCAATAAACCCCTAGCATCTCTGCCAGTGACTGGGGGGTCAAGTAAATATTCCTTAGTGTAGGTAATTTCACAAATGTATTTCAGTAATATGTATTTTTGGAAATAAGCAGTGTTAGCATGTACTAATATAGGTGTATTTAATTAAAAAATAGCAAAAGGTTAAAATGAAAGGCAACTTTTAGTGGCTCCACTGCCTCCTTTCTTGCCTGTGGCAAGCAATACACTTACCTGTCACTAATCTTTGGAGGTCTTCACTGTGTGGTATGCTTAGCACCACACAACATCCTATTGAATAACTTCACCATTAGTACCTACTATCTTATAGGGAACATCTAGAAATGTTATTTGTACCTAGGCAGTACCATAAAAAGGCACCATCTTTTTTTAATATATCAGTGTGAGATTTGTAAGGCACTGCTGCCTCTGACTGCTAGTCTCATGAGATTTGGAGTGAGTTTTGGTGATGCCTCAACTGTTATTTTTTCACTGGAGGACCTGCAAAGCATAGATCTCCCAGCTTTTGCTTAATTCATCCTGTAAATATGTGCTTCTTTTACCACGCCAATTGGTGTTTGAATATTACCCTACCAGTCACTGGATCACACAGCGTGAGAAGAACATGCTGTGCCCGAAAGACACTGGTGCCAGGTGGTCGGATCCCTTGCTGCAGCCGGTGCTGTGATCACTTCACACCAGCCACAGACTTCATCCCCCAGACACCAGGGTCTTCTGGGCATAACATGTTCTTCTTCTCATGCTGTGTCATGGTAGAGAACAAAGAGCTCTTCCCCCAGACATACGGTGCAAGGTCTGTTGCCTGGGCAGTCTGATGCCCAGCATCAGATTGCCTGTTCACAAGTTTGTGTCCTGGCTCGGGTATATCTACCTGAGCTAGGGAAAGTAGTCCAGCCCTTTTCCTACTGCCAGCCCTGTGTGCCACTAGTGCCTGTGAGGACCCCCAGACTGAGGTCAGACCTCCAGGAGTGACCCTCAGCCTCCCATTGCCCAGCTGCATCCCTAGGACAAACCATCAGGACAAGCCATCCAGCACCCAATCCACACCACCAGCAGCCACAGAACCTCCAGTGTATTAGGCATGATACACAATGGGGGAAATTTACCAGAACTGGTGCGCTCTGAATCTGGTGCAGCTGTCCATGGTAGCCAATCTGCTTCTAACCTCAGCTTGTTCAATAAGGGTTGGCAATAAAACCTGGAAGCTGATTGGTTTACACGCAGAGTTGCACTAGATATTGCACTCTCCAACCTTAGTGAATAACCCCCAATGTGCTACAAAGCATACTATGTCAGTAATAAGGAAAGAGTCAGCTGCAGGGAGACCACGTGCAATACTGGTGACTAATCCTTTGTCTTCTGCTTACCTTTTTTGGGTAGCGTCCGCAGTTCAAGTCTTCTTTAGTTAAACTAAGAGTGTATGGTGTTCTGTGTACAGTGTTCTGTGGTGCAGTGTTGGCATGTTTTATCATTTTATGAGACTCTGGTCTCCTGATGCTTATCACTAATAGACCAAAATAATTTTTAAATAGTTTTTATTGGGATTAGGCAAGAACTTTAGGATTTCTATGGCAGGATTTCTCAACCAGAGCTCCATGGAACCCTAGGGTACCTCCAGAGGTTGCCAGGGGTTCCTTGAGAAATGAGCACTTTCTGACTCTCAGATAAGTTCCCATTGGCACCATTGACCTTTTTCGCTGTCTGTAAGGTGGAATTCTTCTCAATAACCACACATGTAGGGAGCATTCTTCCCACTGACCATCAGGCTAAAGTATCATGGGTTGTAGATATAGTCATTTTTAGCAGGGGTTCCCTTAGACCTGAAAGTTATTTCAATGGTTCCTCTGTGTTGAAAAGGTTGAGAAAGGCCGCTCTAAGCTATTGCTATATGCAATTTTTAGAACTGTTCAAATTTCTGTTTATTTTTTAAACTGTAATTGATTTCTAAAGATTTAACCTATTGGCAATATACCAAGACTCTATAGCTTTTTATTTTCTAAATATGTATTATTCTATACCAAAGAATTCTGTGTACTTTAGCAGCAGTATAGTCCAGTTTGAGTTGATCTTTTACACAGGAGTATATTTATTTTTTAAAAAAAAACCCATTGTATAACAAGTCACCCAGTGAAAATGCTTGTTTATTTTATTGTGTGAATGGGGGAGAATACAAATGTTTTTCATTGATTAAAAAAAAGAAAATGCCACATTCGGCCACCAGACAGAGAATTCCTATGATACTTAGCACCATTTAGTGGCCAAATGTAATTATTGTTTTAACCACTTCCCGTCAGGCCCATGTACATAAACGGCCAGACAGGAGCAGTGCAGGAGTGGGTAGCCATTCATAAACGGCCCCTGCATTTACAGCCTGTGCACACTATGTGGGAGCACGCGGCACCTTGATGCTGTGTCCGATCGCTGTACGGGACCTCTGTGTGAGGTCCCGATCATGTGATCACTGATTGGCCAATCAGTGATCACATGAATAGTAGTAAGCAAGATGTCACTTCTGACATCATTGCTTACTACGTGTGAAATCTGTGAATGATCACAGAGGTCACATGGTACAAGGCTATTCAAAACAGCCTTGTACCATGTGACAAGCTGTGACCAATCACAGCTCTCACAGTATTTCTTAATGGCTGTAAGAATGCAGCCAGAGAGAAGGAGAAATTATTGCTTTTACAGCATTTATGGGTGTAAAAGCAATCAGTGTAAAAAAAAAAAAAAAAAATCTTCATCACCCCCCACAAGTAGTACACACTGTACTGCTAAGATGACAGTGTGTTAAAAAAAACCCATAAATAATAATATAAAAAAATACAATAAAAATGTAAAAAACAATTATAATTTTTGGTTATAAACTAATTTGGGTTATATTTTGTTTACTAAAAAGATAACTGAATACATTTTGGCCAAAATGTATGAAGAAAGATTATTTATTTGCATTTTATTTGCAATTGTTTTCAAAATTTTTGGACTTTTCCTTTTATATAGCAAAAAAAAAAAATAAAAATCCCAGTGGTGAATTAATACCACCAAAATAAATTTTTATCTGTCTCAAAAAAATACAAAAAAATTCATACGGGTACAGTGTTGCATAATTGTCATTCAAAGTGTGATAGCACTGAAAGCTGAAAATTGGCCTGGACAGAAAGGGGGTAAAAGTATCTGGACATGAAGTGGTTAAACCAATGAAAAAGATTAGGCAAGCACAGAAAGTAGCCTAATAATATTTGGTGTTTTTTGGCCCATTTGCACAAATTGCATGTACCTGCACTTTCACTGGATGACTTGCTATGGAAATTTGCTATAAATACAACCTATAGTTTCACATGGTCCTATTGATGATATATCTTCCAATGCCACTGATGTACAGCAACAGAAATACAAGACACGTTTGGTGTGCCATGGAGTAGCAGCTGTTCCCCGTCTCCTAGCTGCTATTTGCCTAATAAGCATGATGCAGCCCACCTCTGCATTCTCTGACAATATATCCCTGTGGTAAGCACAGCTAGGAAACATTTAATGTTAAGTACAGTCTTAGCTACAAGCCTTGGTTGATAATGAATTATATATTTCATTGTAAGTGTTGTGCATCATTTAGTAAATTGTTTAACTTTTCCCACAAGAAATTAACGAAACTACAAAAAGAGGCCTTGGGACCATAAATTAGACACAATTAACCTGTTACATGCTTTTTTTTTCAGTTGGCATTCAGTTTAGAACAATCACAGCACTGTCTGTAGTGGCTAATGGCATTTTACATTTTACTGTATATGCTGCCAGTGATAATGCTAATCTGATTTCTTATGGGTAACAAGCAAGGTGAGCATGGTGCTAGAGCCACATGCAGTAACTGCATTTACATGGGAAGGGGAGCACTGCAATGATGGCTAGCAGAGCCAGGTCTCAGATTAGGCTGTCAGAGTGCCGTGCAAGAGCTGCCGCTGAGCTGAATATTAAAGTAGAACAAAAGGCACAACTTTACTGTAATACAGGCCATACGTTTATCAGATAATTTTTCGTCCGAAAGAATAATCTGCCGATTTTTGCACTGTTAGTGGGGTAATGGCATCGGACACTTTTCGCGGTTCCTCCTCATTTCTTTTATCGGTCATGCTGGAAAATTTGCAAAAAACTGCCGATTTTCACAATCATTGGTGGCAACGGAACGACCAATGTTTCGTTTTTCGGATGAAAAATCGTCCGATAAACGAACCGTCTATGGCCTGAGCGCTATCCAAAAGTCACTATATCGCGCCAGGTGCAAGAAATTAATTAATCTGTTAGATTGCTGCCACTTTTCTCTCAATGCAAGATATAAACCATATAGGGCGGCACAGTGGCTTAATGGTTAGCATGTTGGCCTTGCAGTAAATGGGTCATGGGTTTGATTCCTGACCATGGCACCTCCTGCATGGAGTTTGCATGTTCTCCCTGTGCTTGCATGGGTTTCCTCCGGGTACTCTGGTTTCCTCCCACACTCCAAAGACATGCTAGTAGGTGAATTGATTCCTGTCCAAGCTGGCCCTCGTATATGAATGTGAGTTAGGGACCTTAGATTGTACGCCCCTTGAAGGTTAGGGATTGATGGGAATGTACAATATATATGTGAAGCTCTGTGTAAATTGACAACACTATATAAGTACCTGAAATAAATAAATATATATAGTATCACCCCTACTCAAGTGACCACAAGCAGCACATACCCTATATCATATTTATCAATAAACTCAAATTAACATTCATATATGTCACTTTCTGTCTTCATCAATACCCCTGTAACACAAACATAATGTGTAAAATTAGGTAAATATAAAGTGATTGTAAACATAAAATAGTGATATTCCATATATTCCAAAAGAGAATAGAATACAAAAAAAGTCCAGTCATAGAACGAAAATTAACTTTAATTTTGCAATTTTTTTAATACTGGACTTTTAATTTTGCTTCTATCACAGGACTTTTTTTGTATTCTTTTCTCTTTTGGAATATATGGAAAATAACAATTTTATGTGTACAATCACTTTATACTGTTTTACTTAATTTTACACATTATGTTTGTGTTACAGGGGTATTGATGAAAACAGAAAGTGACACATATGAATGTTAATTAAAGTTTATTGATAAATATGATATAGGGTATGCGCTGCTTGTGGTCACTTGAGTAGGGGTGATACTATATGCTTTATAAAAGGCAAAACTTGTTTAAGTTTTGGATAAGTCCCCTTTCACACAGGCGGACTGATCGGGTCTACCTACCCTTTTTCCAGGTGGACCTGATTTGACCATCAATTGCCTGCTATGGAACAGTGTATGTAAATGGACTGCATCTGATCCACTAAAAACAGACTGATGGAGATTCCTCTTCCGTCTAGCGGATTGGATCAGGTAACAGTCGGATGTAAACTGACTGGTGGCCTGTTTACATCTGACCGCCCATAGAGGACAGTGGGCTGTGTCCGCTCTGCGTAAGGAGCGGACATGGACCTGTCATCCACCTGCTCAGCAGAGATCAACAGACAGATCCCCCACTGAGCAGGTGGATCCGCTCAGATTAAGTGCCATAGAGTAAGGGAGAATTAAAAGACCCTGTTAATTTTTTTTCTATCTGTGTCCTCTTGGTGAGATTTCATAGAGAAATGGCTTTGGATTCAGGCTTGTATACACTATGTGCTTTGTTCATATTTCATGCCTGAGGTTTACAACTACTTTAAAGTGTTACTAAACACAGAACAGTAAAATCAGCCTGTATATGCAGTAAAACATGCTTGTTATACTCACTGTGGAACCTAAGGGGTTAATCCTCTGCATTGCGTAAAAGGCAGTTTGATCCAGTCTTCTCTGCTCCTCTTCTTGTTCAAATGTCCACATCTTATCTCCTGATAAGACAGACTGAACCGTAGCCATTCTGCACATGCTCAGTTTAGTGTGTATTGCTAGAGATATTTTTTTTTCTTTTCTTTGGAGCGTGCATGTGAACAGCACAGGGCAAATCAGCACTGTCCAGGCAGAGGTCAGGGGTTTTGCATCCTCCTAGAGCAGAAAGATAACTCCTCCTTCAAGCTTTAACCAGTGCTCTGCTGAACACTGATAAAAGTCACAAGACTGCTGTAACTGCTGATGAGAAAAGGTATTTAGCAGCTTAAATTTACTAAAATAATTGTACTTCCATGTTCTGTGTACTGTGGGATACCAGATATTGTGAATGCAGGGTCCTTAGTTAGTAATACTTTAACCTTTTGATATTTTGACACAATGTAATATAGGTATGCATAAACACATTTTTCAGACAGGTGGTCTGGAGGTTGTAAAAACGAATGACTAGGTTGCCATTTTACCACCCTCTGATCACCCACTAGAACTGCCCCAATACAACAATACACACAATTGAGGTGCTGTATTGTAGCATTATGGGGTTAAATCTGGCAGTGAGGAGGCATTATAATTCCTCCTCAACTCCTGTTGAATGCCCACTTAAAAAGCGATCCAAATGCAGTTCGCTCTTCAGAGAGCACCACAAATGTTTATATTTACTAAAATAATTGCGCTTCCATGTTCTGTGTACTGTGGGAGACCAGATATAGTGAATGCAGGGTCCTGGGTTTAGTAACACCTTAAGGTTAAAAAACCTTTAGCGTTTATCTCTACTTTAACCCCGTATTGTACATAGAGGAGATGAGTGTGCAACCATCGCCAGGAGCTCCCTAGAGAGGTGCTGGAACAAAGAAAAAGGTAAGTATTTTACCTTCTTCCTTTACACCTAAACCAAAATAGGCTTTTAGCCTGTTGTATTTGGGAGGGCACTGCAAGGATTGTTTTTTTTTTTATTGTGACTGCAGCTAGGCTTTAAATATTATCCTTTATTCAGGTCAAAAATCTTTGTGAGCAAAAAAAAAAACAAAAAACCTTCCATTGGACTGAATTTAAAGTTTTATATCTAGCTTTTGTTTTTTTTAAAGAATATATTTGTCTAACAAGAGTATATATAGGTGTAGTACTGTTTATGATCACATTTTATACAAAATAACACTGAACTTGTTTTTAAGAACAATTAGATTGATGCTTTTAAACATGGACGTGTTAATGACAGCACCGATTACTGTATTTTTAATTTAGGAAAGATGACGCTACCTCGGGCTGAGTTTGAAAGGTAAAGAGGATTAATACAGTTAAGTACTACTTAGGTATAATATCCATTTCAGCAGTTATAGGACTGTAACAGGAAAGGAAAACAATTCTTCATGTAAATCCTTTAAAATACAGTAAAGATAGTGTTGGCGGTTTGATCGCTATGGTGATCATTTCATCTTTTGTAGTTTAGCATAATTAAAAGACTCTAATTTGCCCATAGCACATAACACATTAATAATAACACAAACGTGGCATTGTCATGAAATCCAGATCTGTTAAAGCATGTGCTAAGGGGAAAATCTATCTTATACCTTGCTGTTTCCAAAATACAAAAGCACCTAAACTATCCTACTGTACTGTACAATACATGCTGTTAACCAAATAAAGCTGTAATCAGGTCCAAACTGGACTAACGTGACCAAGTAAGAATATACTATATCTGGAATTCTTCTTAAATGTATTTTAGTAGTGTTTTTCCACCTGTAGTG